AAGAAAGCTACGTGTATAGTTGTATTCTTTAACTTCGACAAAAGATTGATCAACGTGAAGAGAACTTTATTTGTTATTAACATAAGGTAATATCACCCGTTACTAACTTCTTTTGACTTTTTCCTGATAGTTCCGGTCGTTCTATTCCTAATTAATTTTTGCATTAATCCGTCGAATACACATTTATAGTAATAATCTATGTAGACTTCGCGGGAACTCCCCTTGAAGGGGGTATTTTATAGTCGACAATATTTTTTCTTTCATTATATTTTTTTTATTCTTCGTCACTCCAGCATTCCAACATAAAAGTCGTCATCACTAAAGTTAGTATACACCCTTTCGTCATACGGTTGTCATGAGAAACTAATCTATATTGTTAAAACTAAGGCACAACAGCTCGTTTATGGTTGTACATAAAAGAATAACATCAATAAACTAAAAATGTCTCAGTCTGGACTGAGTAAACCGAGACAGGTCCCAAACTCAGACACAATATCCTTACCAGTATTTTCCACGTTGTGGCATAAATTCTTGATTCGTTTACCTCATTATTATTCGTTAGCGAAAACTTTATTACCTCAATCGATACTATCGACATTTTGTTGATGTTGCACTAAATTATTTAGCTTTATCATCAATTAAACAAAACAATATACATAAAAATAATTATTTAGAGCTCATATATAAGTACGTCACTGTGATGCTTTCCATTTAGCAATTAATTACAAAAACAGTTTTCCTATTCCAATGCTAAACAATTTTCTCATTTTAATTATATCACCTTACAAGGAAGATATAAGGTACTTACAATAAAAATTTTACTATCGGTGTACAATATGCTGTAAGATATTGTAAAACTCACGCTAAAATATTGTGTAAACGGTTGTCTGATTTAACTCAAAACAAAGCGAATGACTATTACAGATCTTTACATCATAACAAACAATATAAGAAAACAAATTCGCTTAGAACAACATACATCGCTGCACTATAAGACCCATCATAAGCCATTTTACGAAATCAATCTTGATATCTCATAAGCCAATTCCAAGACACTCTCTCTCGGTCACCTATTATTCTTTTCACTAACTAATTACTAATAACCATCCATTCGAATATGAACTGTTCATGCTTACTCTTTCGGGTTACTGTTTTTACAAATCTTATACATCAAACGCAGTCACTTAACACTAGCCGTTAAATCAAAAACCCTTTTTATCGCAGTAAAAGCTATATGGCTAGCCATACTTCCATCATAATCTGTCGATTGTGACACGATAACCGGTCAAGATCACTATTATCACCAACTTACAAGTCTTTCAGTTATCGTATCTGTCACAGATAAAAAGAAGTGTACAACCTTACCGCATACGCAAACTCAGATAACTACTTAATTAATTTAGACAATAATTCGTACAACGACTGCAAGAAGTTGAAATATATTGAATACTGGGAAAATTCATTACTTAAGATAATTTGTTTAATATCACAATTACAAGTAGCATATGGTTAAGATAGACCACTTATCTCAATCGCGCATTTAATCGGTAATTCTCCAAGTTATGCCGATATCACTAAACAGTTATACAAGTAAAACCTTACTTATCCAAAGACCAGTTCCAACCGTATACAATAATATTAACCTTCCAACTAATGGCCGTTTAAAAAATGGCATCACAAAATCGAGGAAAGTCATTAGTGCATGCGATTGAAATTTTATTCTTCCTAGAAAGCAACTGTATTGTGAGTTATTGAAATTTCAATTTATTTCAACGCGTATGCGTACCGACGTCGGGATTAAACTTCCTTGAAAAAAAACCTTAAAGTAACACCAACGGCAAATCGGGCATAGAACAAAAAATTGCGCAATTTGCCAGTACGCCAGGAGCAATCTACAAACACAACGCCTCCATTAACATAATTGTTGAATCTCCAAACGGAAACCAGCGACATTTGCAAAACTTTTCTCAGTGATCAGAAATGGAATTTTAAGTTGGATACTAGCGCAGACACAAATACCGAAGAGCAAGATAATAACAGGAATAGTAAGCAACAAGGAAGTAATAACAATACTATAGTAACAACAAAATAATACAAGAAAAAGACATGCAACTAGAATAATATGGGTAAAAGACACAAATAGACTCACCGTTTGCTATATACCCTTTTTTCTCATATATTTTATGTTTGTCATGTAAATTTAGTCTGTTATTAAATATCATCCTTGAAGCATTGCCTATTACCGAGTTCTGCCCATGACACTTATGTGCTTCAAGACGCAAGTCAATTTACAAAGCCATTCTTCAACCCGAATTGCCAAAAGAAATATATTTATTACGTATTAGTCTATTTTATCATATTTTGTGGCTTTAAAATTCAATTATCGACAAAGCCGGGCAGGTACAAATAGACTTCTAGTTATGTAGTAAAATGGTCGACGATAAATGCAAATCTGGACCCGTGACATCACATGTAACAATCTCTCTTGCATACTTCGGTTATGGCATCCGCATGGACATCCAGACTATGTTCAACTACTAGAAAGCGTAGACTTTGGAATTATTTGAGGTATTCCAGTCATGTTAAATGCTAACTAATGATATCGCTGGCTGATAATGATAATATATTGCTGTCGACAACTCATCTCTTTATGATATCTAGCACGGCACGGTTTTCAATACCAGGATTAATCTTTATTTTCTCACGTGTATGAAATAATGCGTGTTGCTTCGTATCCCCTTTCTGTCTTGGGGACCAGGTACAGTACATCGAACATTTCCAGTAAGTATTCATTTGACACTTTCAATTGAAATACTTTGTCATAGAGCTAATAATTCTAATCTGTTTTTTCAGCCTTGATGATAAACAAAGACAAATGGCGAAGGCCGTTGAGGAGAAAAGAGACGGACGTGTAGGCCAAAGTGTCATTTTCTCTCGTTGTTTAAAGGCAATGTAGAATGTTGTATATATGGCAATGTTTTGTAAATATGTAAAATAATTGTTGCAAGTGTGATTAAAAAAAACGACTTCTACTGATCAATACAGCTACTGGTACAATTACAGCACCCCTTGTTTATTAGTGAGGGGAAGCGGTAATAATCTCAATGCGCGATTGCTTTTCTTGAGTAAGATCTATGCTTTAATCGAAAAGAGCATTTTTGCTCAATGAAACAGAACGGGGTCAAAATTTTTTGGTTCAATCACTTTTCCTAAAAGAAAGTAATATCGGAATAAAATACAAATTACAAGGCTTCATTACGGGTTAATGAGTTCATTGTTAACTATCATTGTATTATGCAGTTTTGCTTTATTGCTCCATACCTTTTGATTCATCAGCCGAGGGCATACTTCCACCCGTATAAAAATAACATATTTGATCTAGATTATTGATTCTCACTTCTGCTAGTTGGATTCTGTCAAGTTGACATTTTTGTGACTAATCTTGGTTTGCCAATATTGACATGAAAGCAATAGTGACGATCACATGTTACTCCCGAACTGACTATGTGCGATCTACAGTCCTTACTGTTAACAATATAAATTGACCGAATATTTGGGCGTGATTTTGAGTCGCCGAAATTGTTGACAACGAAAAGATTAATAATTTATTTAGCAAATTAACATTAAAATGAAGGTGAATCAAGAACAACCCGTAAGCAAAATCTTGTTAGAATGTTTACTTTCTTTTTGGAACATCGATAAAGGTCCTTACATCAGTATAAAATATGGTATTCCGTATATTGTTCATAATGTTACTATGTGAACAAAGTTCCTCACATTGCTAAGATCAGCATTACAGTACCGCTATGCAAGGTCCCTGTAAGCCTCTGGTGTTGAATCTTTTCTTCATCACTAAAGGACTGACAATCAAATTCATAATAATACCAAATGCATACACAACATGTCTAATTCACGAGTTGTAAAGACTTTTGGTGCAATAACATCTCGAACAACTGATTTGGTGCAGACAATTTTATTGTGCGGGATACAAGTGGGTAACTTGAACCAACATGTCTAGTAAAGATAAAGGCACATGACTTGACCCTAGCATAACTCTTTAACTTTTAACATCTTTAACTGCAAACTGTTAGAGCTTGATAAGATTTTGTAATTTTTGCTTGAGAATTTATTTAGCTTAAAAGTCGGTTATTACAATTACTGTTGTCATATTGATACTAAGAGATAATTTTGTCCCGGGACTGCTCAGCCTCCTTCAATTGAATCACTAATCTCTTTTATAACCCGACTTTGCTTGTTCCGCTAATTAATTAGTTGAGGAATCTGGGAAGGAAATGCAATGTGATGTTGCTTAGCGTTATGTAAGTACCCGCCACGTTTACACGCGGGAGTAATTAACTCTATTTGTAAGTTCAGTAATAACCAAATTCGTCAATATATGGTTATTAATATTTGGCGGGTTAAAAGACCGGTCTTATCCGACCTCCGATTGTCCATTCCTGTTGGACGATGGAGGAAGGGTTTGTGATATTAATAATCATTCCCTATTCCCGTGATCCTTTGATCTCCTAATTCCGCAGTAAATAGAGATGACATGTGGCGTAGATCTTCCGCGTTTTGAAATATTCACACGCACAAGATTTATCCGCAGCATATCTTATCAGACCGTAGTATGTTTATTTACTTCAATTTCTTCAGAGCTTTTCATAGTCAGCTGGAACTAATGACTGGTAGACATTATAACATACACGAGAGGTTGGGAAACTATGCATAAGATGCTTAAGTGTATAAGCAATTTGATGATATACTTACTATCTTTTTCTTGTTTCGTCGATCCATACAAACAACGTGTCTTCTAACCGAATAAAGGAATACACTAGATAAATTATTTGATCGTGTCACACCGACGATGGATGCTTGCGTAATAATCGTAATAGGTATATAAAGGCGTGGTAAACCGCAGAAGACAATCACAAGAGCGTGTAGCTTGTCTTTTAACAACATCTAACCCCTTACAATACAATACAATTTCAAAGAAAAAAATGTTCCAAGTATCTCCCATTGCCGTAGGTCAGGACAACTCTCGATGAAAAAGCCTACAACTCGACTGTTTTGATACTTACGTTGATCGTTTTAGTAGCTGTTGGTAGCGTTACCAGGTTTATTGCTGGTGGTACAATCTATGGTCCTCTCTTTGGTGAACGATGGATGGCAGCTATGAAGGAAGACAAAGGCACGGAGAAGTGGAAACAACAAGAATGTTGTCCAAAGTGAGTATGCCAATTATGAGTATGATGCAGTGATGATGTGTACTGTACTGTTCTGTACTGGAGAGAAAGTATTTATGTACTGTTACGTTTTACAGATGGAATTTAGCCATTGAACTGTTGACGAGTATTCTTCAGGTAAAAGCAAGAAAACTGTATTATAACGTGCTTATGACGATCGATCGCTATCACACAACGGCTCTCTTGTCATAACAATGAATCTCTTCTTGTCAACCGTCCATCTTTATTATCTAGGCGTACGTTACTGGGATTCTCCTCAATGTTACCAGAGCACAGGATTACAATGAAGCTGCTTTTCTCGGCTTGATTCTGTTCAGCGGATGGGTTGTTCCTTACGCCGTAAGCGAACAAATCTGGGAAGGAAGGTAAATACTGATTTGATTGTACATTTTTGTTTTGATGAATTGGGTATGAGAAACATTCATACGATGTTACATGGCTTATAACTTTTTCTTTCCCGCCACCCCACCCCACCCACCAAAGACCGTTCCTCCTGGCAAAGCTTAAATTCCTTAAAGGTTTCTTGGATACCGTCGGACTCTCTGTATTGATGTATGCGATTGGCGACAACTACTAAAAGTATGGAGGAGGGGGGAAATGAATTGGGTATGTTTCGGGTTTGAGACTGTCTGTGGTACTAAATAGTAAGATAGCTGATAAAGAAAAGACGAAATAAACGTCCTATATATCTCTTTCACCTACAAAGGCTGATAAATGCATATAGTTTGTGATGATGGTATACGATTCTATATAACGCCGGATACCAAACCTACTTGGGATTATAACAAATAAACATTTCTTATTGTAGTCTAGTAAGCCAGTGATTTGCATCATTGTCATGTGAAGCTAGCTAGTAACACAAGCTTATCTCTGAAGTATCATCAATTATTTATTAATATATGCATGATATACAGCATTTAACAGTAGCCGAACAATTAATTCCTCATGACACCCAAAGCATCTCTTCCTCATAATATTCATCTGCTTCTTTGATCTCTGTAACTTCATATACCAATCCCGTAGCACTGTTTTTGGCTGCCGCTTTTATTTCGGCCAATTCTATGCCGAACGACAATGACACTTCGATTTGCCTATCGAGCCCGTGTTCGACGTCTGGGATACTAATGACCCAGTGTTTGAGTTTACGGACAATGGTTTCATCGTCGGCATTTTCCGGATCGTCCGTGTCCGAATAGTATATGCTCACATTGGCTTCCTCTTGGTGAGGAATTAACGGACTATAAATTTCCTTAAACGGTGTTGGAGGAGGTATGCTGGAGCCTTTGGTTGCAATAACCGAAAACATATGAATGTCTCCGGTGAGCATCATTAAAATGGGATGATTTAGCGTCTTTACACCGAAATGATGTTTTAAAACGCGGGTTTTGATTATCTCGTTATAATTGAGGCCTGCAATATCAATTGTAATTTCGTGATTGGCATTCCTCACGCATATTTGGCAACAAATAATATCAATTTATATCTCTGTCCACTACTTTTAACTTACCAAAAAAGCCAGCACCTTCGACAACGGCTACTGTCGGTTTTGGCGTCGGGGGCACAATAATTGACGGTATGTGTTTGCCAAATTCTTCTTTTATCCTTGCTTGGAGATACGGCGATTCGCTGATAATTACACATTGAAACAATTAGAGCAATAACATATAATTGGAAAATAGATCGGGTTATGACAAATCTTGATAACATTGTACCTGTATCCTCCAACCATAAGCAACGCTGCGCATTTTTGAGTAGTAGAATTCATTTGTTTCCTATATTGCAAAAGAGATGTCTTACGATTATTGTTCAAATTGAACAAAGTCTCTATTTATTTTACATACTTACCTAATCAACTCTATGATTTCGTCAATGCTGGGATCAAAGAAAGATTTGATCGTCTTGTAATTGAGTGTGATTATCCAATCATCCTCTTCTAAATCGTTTTTCTTTTTGAGACTCGCATGTTCCTCGAGTGATGGACAATCATTGACAACGTTCAACTCAATTTCTTTAAAGTTCTCTTCATTGCCGTCAAATCCATGCTTGATTGGTGTGAAAAAATTAAAAATCAAACCCAGGAAGCTTTTAAAGTACTTTTGTCTCAAGTTGCGCATTTTGATCTTTTTGATCCCTAGCCTGCCGCCAAGAAATTTCAAAAAATTGTCGTCAACTTTGGTGCTTCCATACATCCCCCCATCACTTATAGTTATTTCGTCAAGCTTGTTATCCGAGCGTATTCTAAATGTGCTCAAATCGACTGTACCGCCACCACAGTCGGCAACTATATAACAGTCTGTTGAATCACAAGGGGTAAGAAATGAGATTTGAACCGACGACGGAATTTGATCAACGTGCAGGAAAGAATCTTTCTTACCTCCTGGTTTTAGATTGTAGTTTTCATAGTCTTGTAGGCAGGAAATTGCTGCAGCCGCCGCTAAGATGCGGATAAAAGAGGTTGAGATTAGCTGTTATCAAACGTCAAAGTGTCCTCCCCCCAAATCACGACTTACGTTCCATCAAAAGTTGCAATTGTTCCGAGTCTTTGTGCGAGGTAAATCCGGCTTCATGCATAAAACCGCGCATTTCATATTTGTATTTGAAAGACCTTTTGAAGTAATGTTACAGGTTCAGTAATACAATTTCAAAGAAAAAGGAGTGCGGAGTGTTGCCAACTCACCATTCTGTCGGAATAGTTGCCACAATACGAAACTGCTCTGGGAATTTGACTTTTTTGGGGTGCAACCATGTGTTCATTTGTGTTTGTGTACTGATCATTGGCGCGAACTATATATTAGGAGAACGTACCATTTCCGGCGGCGAACATTGGCAATTTACGTGAATCGATTACTCTATCGATTTCCTAAATATAAAACGTATTTAGACCAAGAGTACATACAATACAGAATATATAGAATAATTGTACTACATACTTGCTTCATACATGAAAGAAAATCAGGAATTGCTTTTTTATAAGAGATTCCTTCTGGCAATTTCGCCTTATCCTTTTTCTTGCTGCCAGATAAGTAAAGTTTAAATAATTCTGCGAGATGCAAAGTTTTGTGTTGTTTTTCGAGTTTACTCAAAAAAGATGGCGATGCAGCATCGACCCCCCAACAGAGAACATTTTTATTGTCATCATAAACTAGTAGCGACGGAATTTTCTGATGCGAACATATGCTTTGCCTGGTGAAAAAAAAAGTTTACGCTAATCAGGTCTGTTCGCTTGGTGGGGGCACTTCACTTTAATTCAAGAGGGTCAAATTTGGAGGGAAATGTTACCAGCTAGTATGAACGTGTACTTTGTCTTTCCTTTGCATATGACCAAAGGAAATACCCGAGAACGTCGTACCAAAGTCTTAAAGATAATTTACAATTAATCACGACTTGAGCAACTGTGGGCACTCTACAATACAAGATACACGTTACCGAGGGCGACTACATAACGTAAATCTTCGGAAGGCATTTTTTTTAGTTTGAATCAACGAAATATCTTCTCGCATGCGGCGGTTTTTATTTTGTTCTGCTTTGGTTTCTTGGTTTGTTTGTTGGTTGAAAAATATATCCATTAATCGTTAGGAAATTTGAAATATTTTGGCGTAATGGGAGAATCTGGAGAAATCTGACATAAGTTTAACATGACGTTGTCTTGTCAGAACGTGGGAGTGTGTCTATCTCCATTCATTAAATCATTTGAGGGTTCTCACCAATGCTTGCACCCCATTAATCGATATTGTCATGATTGTACCAAATAGACATTGCAACATGAGATTTGGAATGGGCGGTAATAATCAACAATTATTCCGCAATTACACATTTGTTTACTTGGGCGTCAGCAGGGTTTATAGTCAAATTTGTCAGGTGACAGTGAGTGATAACAATTGTTGTGAAAATATGGTTGGTTCGAGTTGCGATAAGGGTACGCAAGCATATATTATGATAAGAGGTAATCAGAATTGATTTTGCCCTACCATTAGTCCGTTATATATCGTCCCAAAGTATACAAGCTTTTTAGGAACAGTACATCTTAAACAAACAAAGCGAAATTTTTGTGTAATGTGATCGATCTTTTTTATTAGTTTGCAACAAAATGCCTAGAACGTAGGTAGCGTCTGACAAGTTTGGATTTTGCGCCCGATTATTCTGAACAGATTTGTGAGATGGAAGTCAAAAGCTTCTGTTATATAAACGAGCTTTTGAATCGTTTCCGCACTTACCAAAATTTTTGGCCATTTCAATTAATTGGACTTTAGAAAATAACTAAACATCAAAATTTGTTAACCAATGGCCACCAAATCAACGATCCTCTTTATCTTCGCTTTGGTCTACTTGCTATGCTACGTCAGCGCATTGTCTGTAGGAGAACGCAAGTCTTCTGCCGGTAAGTATTAGAGCAGACGAAAGAAATTAATTCTCAGATAGCAATTGGCTCAAACACTCTTTGTATTCGCATTTTGTAGTTGAGGCGAGACATGTGCAAAAGCTTAATCCACAACCAGAACCACCTGGCTTTATTAACGAAAAATAAGCGGTGCGGCAATCATCAAGTCTTTTCCCGCAATTATTTTTCCAATTAATTTTGACGAAAAGAAGCAAGACTGTAATAGTAAACGATTACAATGTGTTCTTTTTGCTTATTATTTTTAAATTGTTGCAATATTGCTATATATTTATTTGCTATCATGAGCAGTCGTAAAGTCAAAAAAAATTGTAGTAGATAATGTCTACGCATTAATTGCATCATCGATGTTAAACTACGTAAAACCTGATTTAGCAATAATTGTTCTGACTATGAGAGTTCATTATATAATCGCACGGCATCATTGTGTACCTCGACTTGCATATGATGCAGATAATCTCTAACTCGAAATAATTATCTAACTTTCAAAACCCTGATACTAAGGTTTTGTATTAGCGGGTATACTAATCCGTGAGAATGATAGAACAGTCGGTGCAGAACAAATGTTGCGGTTTAAATTTTTAGTAACTGAAAAAAGCCTTCATTTGAAAAGTAACAGTTTTTTTTATTAAGAAAAATAGAACACCAATTTAATTGTGTGTAACGATCCGTTATCCAATAAATGCGTAATTCACAAACATGTGGGAACATTCACTATGCGCGTGTGTGCACATAAAAAAGATGAAACTCATATCGATATAGAAGAAAGCATGTTGGAGCCATATGGATTTGTGTTAAATTATGCTGCTAAAAAATATAAATCGCACAGAAGAATTTCCGAAGATGCATTGCATCGGAACAAATTAATTTGATCAACTTGTAACGTTGATGTCGAGTTTCGCATTTATAAAACTGAATTCAATTAAACAACCGAAGTCCTCCTTATGATTTTATTGGTTACATGCAGAACAAATTCTTGCTCGCTGCATTTTTCTATGAAGTAGATGTTTCTATTTATTGCCGTATGGTACGTACGCATCCCATTCACGAAAATAAAAACATAATAAGTTGTGTGCAGAATGGATGGTTATTACAAATTTATTACTTCAAAGTTTACTTTGAACAAATATTGTAACTCTACAGGTAAAAAAACAGGTTACTATTTGTTTTATTTCGTTATATTTGACCAGACCGGATTTTAGATGCTTGGTAGATACAATTTCACCCACTGATTTACGAGAAAAATTTCACGTTTCAACAGGATGTTTGAAGCCCATAATAGTTTTTTCCAATTGTTTAATAATTACAGACATTGGAATGTTCTCTTAAATGTAGGAGACAACCCAGATATTGATGCGATGTGTAAGATCTTGGACCACGTGAAAAGAATTTGTGACCAAATACGCCATACACCTTTGGTTAGGATTATTAAAATGATCGGTAAATCTTTATGTAAATATAATTTAAAACAAAATTAAGGGGCAGTGACAAAACCGTACTTATTATTATCGACTATTACGCAGTAATATAAGTAATCCTTGGCGGATTTTACTTAATATTAGGAGCCGTCAATTAAAGTCTTAACTACGGTAACCAATAATAAGGCAATTTACAGTCAACACGCCATTATGGTACATCCACCCGAAAACGTAGATTCACAAAACATATGCCTTGATATGAATATTACAATATGGCCCCTCTCCACGGTCAAATAGTAGCAGAATTAAAAAGTTTTATTTAAATTACAACCATTTGCAAGGGTACACATTTAGAAACTGTCCGTAATGATTCCAACGGAAAAAGTGTCCCTTTAGTTATAAATATGATTAGTTTCACCGTCAATTGCTCAGTTCCAAGTTCAAGTCCAACGAAAATTCTAAGCTTAGCCGCCAGTTTTATAAAAATGATAAAACGACCAATATACTCACATCATATTCTGCACGTGAAATTTTACAATCAACAAAAATGTCAACTTACTCAATTAGTATTAGTGAATATAGTTTATAACGTTTTACAATTTTTTTAGCAGGCCAGCGTCTAGCCGAGTATTGAAACAACTAATGCTCTCCTTTATTAGTAAAGAGCGAACGGTAGAATACAATTATTATTCAAATCGAGTTAGAATCTACAACTTAGAATCAAAGATACAGAAATCTGTTGTTTTATTGCAGCCCGGATAGATAGATATTCAAACATGCGCTAATAAAAATTAATTAGTTAAACATCATCTTTGTGAATACACTTAGTTCCAAACTCACAATTGAATTGCAGATTGTAACAAAGTAGTTATCCAAGCAACAGTTATTTTAACATTGATAATGTTAACTCTCTGATTTCTAATAAAATAGACATAATAGATGCACCCTATTTTGTGCTTTTACATAACGACTTTTATACAATCTAACAGCCTTTAATGTCTACATCAATTCCAGGAATTTTACTATGATGCAACTGACATATTAATATGGGGCAGACAGCATCCAACAAAAAGCCAGACAAAGTAAATATTGATTACGTGAGCTAAAAATGGCTGATGTGGCTAGAAGATCAACCATTGTGTGTGATTACGATAACATTTTGGAAACGTTTTGTTTAGTGAAGTGACATGGCTGTGGCTATGCTTGTCTTTGGGAATAACGTATTTCAAATTTGTCTATTACAAGTGTGACTAACATTGAACGAACTAAGACAGTTTTTACTTGAAGTTGTAACATGTTTAATATAGAATTATGTCTATATAAAAATAAAATATACAACCTACCAGGGTATTTGTGTAGGAAGGGCATCGTATTGATAATGGGCTATATATTTGCTTCTATTGACTGCAGACAATTCCATGTCAAACGCGGTTTCAAATTTTCTGGAATTGCGATTGTACGATTAACGCATCATTCGATACTATAGTTGTATAGTATATACAGTAAGAACTCTAAATTAATATAAAAATTCAGGTATTACCAGTATTTAACCGTTTACATTATGTCTCCCGACGTCTCATACCATGTATTAACTTAGTATATGGGCCCAAAGTAATGAATTTTCGATAACATTAACGGTGAAGCACGGAGGCAATAATAACCTTATATTCTTTTTTTTTTGTCGCTTTTATCAATTTTTAGATAATAAAGTTTGTGCATTTTATGTATTTGCAAGTTTGATCGCTGTCAATTGTCTTGAAATTAATTTGCCTGGTTTTACTGCTACGTAATAAATAGGGTATAAATTATGGGCGGTATATGCTGGAGGAATACCATAACTAATGTCTGAAATTACCAAGAACAACCAATAGACTGATACTAATGCCAATTATAATAAAATAAGGAGAGGGAAAAAAACGGGGAATATAAATAGAAGAAAACAAATCCAGCAGCCTTCTATCGAGTAACCTTATCTTTTTTTTTATTCTTTCGACCACATTAACATATAGAAAAAAACTAGACTATATAACACAAAAAACTATAATAGTAAACCAAGATTATAATAAAAGAGATCAACTTATTTGGCATTATTTGTCACAAGTCATTTTTTTATTCCTTGGTTATTTTGAAAAACCCTTCATCTTTCAGATTCTTGGCAACGACAACTTTATTAACATTGGTTCTTTGCATAATAGTATCATAGCCAAGCAGAATGTGAATCTTCTTTTTATCTATCCATTTTTATTATTATCAATATGATAACTTCGTCTAAAAAATTTTATTTTTTTGACACTTGGGATTTATACAAAAAAAATAACTAAAATTTTTCTTACTTTTAATCAAGATCACTTTTTAACTTCAATTTGAGTAGTTAATTGACGTAGGCGCCATATGAGATTGCATGTTTCATGCGCGTAGGCTCCGTAAGTCTTGAACGGTTTTTTTTTTAATCTCTCTATTTCTGACTCTAATTCATTTATCATTCCTATTTCTGCCTTTCATTTCACTCTTCAGACTTCTCTTAAAATTTGGCGACTTCTTCTCTTCCCATCTCGCAAATAGTTTATTTATCTTTCATAAAAACCATGGAGGGATAATATTTTTTTTTCCGTCGCAATCGCAGACATACAATATTGCGATTAATAATATCGAATTTTTAAAATTACAACCATAGTTATATTTTTTTTAATTGTATTATTGCAGACCGTTCTGACTGCTCAGGAATGCTACCAATTAAATCCTATTAAAAGCCAAATATTTTCTTGCAAAAGTTGAGACATACTAGTTTATATCGAAGTGGAAACCATTATCAAACTGTATTATATAATAAATATGTAAACATTTTGAACGTTAGAACACGTGTTCAATTTAGTAATTTCTCAAATATCCGCATTATCTCTTATATCATGTTTGAGCATCTTATAAACTTGATCTCTTGTTTTTAATGCACGCGCATCGTTTGGTTCAATCTCCAATGACTTGTCGAAATCGTTCAATGCATTGTGATATTCTCTGAGATTGAAATAAACATTACCCCGTATTTGTAATGCACGTGCATTATTTGGCTTTATTGCTAACGACTTGTTGAGATCATTTAATGAACTGTCGTATTCTTCTAAATCGAGATAGACGTTTCCCCTTATAGTCAATGCGTCGACTTGATCGTGGTCAATCTCCAATGATTTATTTAGATCAATTAATGCACGGTCATACTGTTTCAACATGTAATATGTCTCACCCCTGAACATTAATGTCCACTCATTATTCGGATCAATCTCCAATGATTTGTTGAGATCGCTTAAGGAATTTTCGTATCGCTCAAGTTTACAATAAACATGCCCACGCACGCTCAATATATCTTCATCATTCGGTTCAATTTCTAATGCTTTGTTGGCATCGCTTAATGCACGCTCATACTGTTTGAGTTTACTATAAATATACCCTCTTACGGACAGTGCACGTACATCATCTCGTTCGACTTCCAATGCTTTGTTGACATCATTCAATGCATTGCCATACTGTTCAAGCATTGTATAAACATAAGCCCTTGAACTCAATACAAGTGTTGGTTCAATCTCTAATGATTTGTTGAGATCGATTAGTGAATTGTCGTATTGTTTTAAATCTATATAGACACCTCCTCTTGTACCCAGCGCCCACGCATCGTTTGGTTCAATCTCTAACGATTTGTTGAGATCAATTAGTGAATTG